CCATTGCCTTCCAAAAAGGCACGAAAAGCTCCAGCTAGACACCAAGAGTTACCTTTGGATTCTGTTCGAACAGATAACGTGGCCCATTACCCAGAATGGATGAAGTCAAATCGACAAATATGTCAAAACTGCTTAAAATACCGTTCCTTCACGAAATGTGGAAAATGTAAGGTTTCTTTATGTTTCAATGACAAACGCAACTGTTTTCTGGAATTTCATAAAGTTTAATTGTTAATGCATACGAAGCCATATATGGCTTCATATCGTTTTGCTATAATGCATACGAAGCCATATATGGCTTCGTTGGCTATTTTCTTAATTATTATTACTTATTTTTTTTTTCTCATCCTAACTTATTATATAAGGTAAAATAAAAGACATTTTCAGTAAAAAAAATTTTTTTTTTGTCTCCTTCATAATTCATGCAATAAGGGGTTAAGTAAAGTAATGCTGCGATGTTTGGGATTGTGTGATTTGCCTATATGTACCAGATCTCTAGTTTAAGATAATATACAGCTAAAGCAGTGTTTAAAATCTATGAGCAAATTGTTTAAAAAAATATTTCTTGTCCTATTGTGCTTGAACTGGTTGTTAGATTTATTAGTATCTATTAAATTTTTTTTTATATATGCGAAATTATTGTTTCATTGTATTGTTAAACCATTTTTTTGTAATATAAAATTATTTATTTTGATTTATTTATCCTTTATTGCCTAACTAAGGACAAATTGCGGACTTAATGCCATAGAGGCATTCTCTCCCAGTCAACCAGTTAGATTCTACAGAACATTATAACAATCAGCTTATGAACTAAGAACAAAATAATTTGATTCGAAAGAAAAGTCAATATTATAGTTATAGATTTTCATTTAATATAAATAAATTAACACTATGATTCCTTTATCTGACATTGACTAGTGATGTTTTAGTGGTGGTAGTATTGGAGTGCGGGAGCCTTGTACACCACAGGGGCGGCCTTGATGATGGCAGGGGCAGCGGTGGGGGCGGTGTTGTGGACGACTGCGTTGAAACCGTTGTGGTCATCGGCGGTGTACTCAACGGTACGGATGGAGCCATCAGCTTCATGGAAGGAGTACGAACCTTTCACCACATCACCGTCGCGGGATTCTTGCTGAGACTTTTGGTCGCCGGTGTGTCCATCAGCGATCGAGTAGGTGTACTCGTATTTGGGGTAGGCCTGGACACATAAGAAAATATTTATATTTAACATTGATGACGTTGTAAAGAAAAACGCTTCAAAAATTCACCAGTTCATCAGTTCACCAGTCATTAAGAAAAACTTACAATTTCTTCCTGGTGAGCGACGATTTTGTCTACAGGAGCGGCATGGTAAGCGACTGGAGCAGGTGCAGAGTGATACGCAATGGGGGCGGGGGCAGAATGGTATGCGACTTGAGCGGGGGCAGAGTGGTAGACCGGAGCAGCAACGGCGATCTTAGCTACAGGAGCGACCAGTTTAGAGGGCTGATCATGACGGACGATGCTCTGAGAAGACACCGCTGCTGCTGAAGAGTAATGTACCGGTTCAGGCAAAAGCCCAGCCTGGGATACAGCCACGAGGGCACACAAAGTCACGATCTAAAAAAGAAAATATTAATTCATAAAATATTAATTTATCATTCACTATTTTAATGCACTAATGTTTTTCATTGTCAATTTCTCGACTTACTTTTGAGAACATATTGTTTAATGCTTGTGTCTGGATTGTGAATGATACTAAGAAGTCAAGGGCCCGGTTTTATATCTGAAATTTCGAACCAGATTAGCGATGTTGGAAGGTAGTGGAAGTTGTCAAACTAGCTTCTGCCCCGACCTTGCTCTGGGTCAAAATAGTGTCACGAAGTTGATACGTTCACTGTTTCAGATATGCTTATGAAATACAATGCTTATTACATAAAACTGATTTATTGATGATATTTGCATATCAAAATGGAAGTGAGTATAATCTACAGCTGTGAAATTAGAATGCATTAATCTACTCAAATCGTTTTATTTTTATTAATTCTTATTTTTACTAAAAAAAAATAGTGCTGTTTTATAGTAATGATAATAAACTTTATTTGACCATAATTTAGTTAAATATAAATATTTTATTTAACATTTTTAAATATAGTGCTTTGGGGTAATCACAAAAGCGGGGGAATTCTGAAAATGCCCTTATACAAGTAATATGTTCATTCTATCTAATAAAAAGTTTGTTTGTTTGTCATCTTTATCAAAAGTTTATAATGAATGCCTGATTTATTTGTATTTCATCTTTATCAGATTTTCCCCGCTTTCGATATTATCCCAAAGCACTATAGGAACTTAAAATACATTTGCTTATAGGTTGTGGACCTGAAACTGGGTGAAACATTAGAATCTGGCGTCTCTGTTTAATATATGTACTATTTTTAAATTTTCCTTTTTAATGTTACGTTATTTTTGCTAGAAAATAGATATTCGATTGACGTGATTCGCAGACTCCACATATTAACGTAAATGCAATTTTGCACTAAAATGTGATTGCCGTGAATAGCTCGTGTATATTTAGTTCAACCAGCAAAAATCCAACCATTATTCGTATTATTGTTATGCATTTCTTTAATTCCATCTTTACAAATGACATTAGTTCTTAGTACATTTTACACCGTGAACTTATAACCTTGAACTCTTTCTTTTACAAAAATTAGGGAAGACTGAGGAGTATAAATTTGGCATATGTAAAGTTTATATGGAGAAGAAGTGCAGAATGCCAATATTTTTCTATAATAATGCTTAAATAAACATTAAATTAATAAAAATCAATATAATAGTTTCCTGAATGTTAAACAATCACGAGTATAATTAAAACCTTTCAGATTAAAAGCTTTAATAACTTTCGCAGTTTTGTGGTCAACAAAACAACCAAATAAGAGGTTGTTTCGACAATAGAGCAATCTCTTATTTTTATTATAAGGTTTTAAAATTTTGATTTTTATTTTATTTAATAATTAATGATATTTATTTTACAAATTACGAGGGTTACATAACATCTTACATTATAGGCTCCGAAACTACTTTACTTATTTTAAAAATTCATCTAAAAGAAGTTACATCATTATGCGGACGACATAAGCTATAATTTATACGAGTTAAATCGCGGGAAAACGTCTAAGTACATTTTCTATGGGATTTTAGAATCATGCATGGGATTTCAAAAGTTCTTGCTTGAGCTTCAAAGTTTTTCAGGCCTTTTTTTGACAAGTAATTAATAAGTTACTGATTGATTATAAAATTATTTTCTGATCTTATGACAACTCGCTACTAGAAAATAAATAAGACTATAATCAGTTTGTGTCGTAGAAAGTAGTATTAACAAATAATATTGCAGCAGCGTAATGAGCTTGGCGCTGCCGAGTCACATCCTTGTCTCTTTTAAAATTAGGTAATTCAAGACTTGAAAATAGTTCTGTTTCTTCTGTGATTTTTTGGTTTCTTTTAAATAAAATCTTATTAATACATAACTAGAGCAGCGATAAGCAGTTTAACAAATTCAATAAACTGTTAGAAGTCCGTAGAGGTTGAGTTTAGAAGAAAAGGTCTTGTCAATCAAATAGGAGTTAGATGCATATCCATAAACAACAAAATAAGATGTAATTAATAATAGACTACAAAAATAAATTAAAAACATCAGAATTCCAGCCCGACTTGGAGACTTCTTTTTTGTCGTTTGTTAATGTCTATTTAATTCTCCTTATTGTTCCCTATTTTGTCTAAATCAAGGCTTATCAATCTTTTCTTGGTTGGGACCACTTTTATGTTATTGTTGTTAGCAGTGACCTTGATGTAGGTATAATAAGATACATTGAATAAGTCTAAAAAAATACTTTAATAAAAACCTTAATAGAAATTTGTTAAAAGAACCCTACTTTTATGGTTTCTTTTTACCTTATAAGTCTAAACGTTCTGATTTCATTTGATTGTAAGCTCTTCTCTCTTCTCACTCCATGACGTCGAATTGCTTACTAACCGTCAAATTTAAAATACGTTAGGAAACATTGGTCTTAATTAATAACAATCCTACATAGATAATATCCAATTAATCTATGAATACTTATCAATACAAGTCTATTGTACTGCTACTCAGACAGACCATGAACAGTTTTGCTGGAAGTCGTGGGTTTTATAATTATATTTTGCAATCTGTATTTTACATATGACTTAGTGGGTGTAATGTCATTATTGGCTTATGTTAGCAGTGGCTAACTTTAGTAAGAGTGCGTACGGCACGGGTCTACTCTACTGACTTTCCACTCGTAGCTTAACATGATGGAACTTTATTACAAAATCTTTTACAATTAGTGTATTAAATTTGAGCTTGATTCGTTCAGTAATTTGAGCTTTGCGTTATTTTAGTCGACAGTTATTTTAAAAGTTCTGTACCTAAACGGTAAAAACGGGATCCTATCACAAAGATTTCGCAGTCCAACCGTCTGACTGTCACCAGGCTATATTAAAAATTTATAGTTATGTTACGTACTCGTATAGATGTTTTTCAGCAGACATCAATAGGATGGAAAATATTACTCACGTCGCTACGAATTCTAGGGGATAAGTCATATTTCATTTTATATTATTTATTGATTAGATGATAATAGGGTTATCGGCTATTATTCTTAAGCTTCTTTTTACATTGCAGTCTTCAGTTATTTTGGATACTACTTACTAATATGTGTCGATATCATAAAGATCTGTAAAAGTTGTGAATAACTTATATGCCTAATACATTGATTTTGAGCAACATTTTGAGTGATTCTGTATCGTTTTAGAGGCTTTGAATTCATTGTGGTGTCTATGGCTAGGCTGCCTGTATTTAGGAAACCGTGGCAATGAAAGTCAGTTCATATATTTGTTTAACGTATTATATTAAAGTACGATAAATAGGAGCTTTGGTTCGTAAAAATTCTTCGATTATTACATCGAAGAATTTTTCTAATGATGGTAGTATTGGTCTAATGATGGTAGTATTGGAGGGCGGGAGCCTTGAGCACCACAGGAGCGGCTTTGATGATGGCAGGGGCAGCGGTGGGGGCGGTGTTGTGGACGACTGCGTTGAAACCGTTGTGGTCATCGGCGGTGTACTCAACGGTACGGATGGAGCCATCAGCTTCATGGAAGGAGTACGAACCTTTCACCACATCACCGTCGCGGGATTCTTGCTGAGACTTTTGGTCACCGGTGTGCCCGTCAGCTACGGAGTATGTGTACTCATATTTAGGGTATGCCTGTAAAAAATGAATCAATAATTACTCTTCTTAATTCATATTTAATATTTCTTAATTTTAATAAGTATTGTTCGACCAAATGTCGAAATTGCACGAAAATATTAAATGTTATTTTTTTCAGTATTATTAATAATACTTAAATCAGTTATTATTTTATTAATAATAATTGATTTAAACTTTATCTCTATTAATAAATAGTAACAAAAGTTATAATAGAAATAGTTTAGTTTTGGGTTATGATTTAATTATATTAAATTGCAACATTCAGTTATACATACATAATATTCTTCTTGTTGATGAGCGACAAGGACCTTAGCAGCGGGGGCAACCACCTTGGCAATGGGGGCAGCGTGGTACGTTATAGAAGCAGGGGCAGCTTGGTAGACGGGGGCAGTGGCGACGTTCTTGGTAGAGGGTTGATCGTGGCGGATAATATTCTGAGACGAAACGGCGTTAGCCGCAGAATAGTGGATGGGGGCAGCAACCGCGAGCTTGGTGACAGGGGCCGCGTAACCAAATTTAGCGATAGGGGTAGCCAACACTTTAGCTGCAATACCCTGAGGTTGGTCATGGCGAATTATACTTTGTGATGACACAGTTTCAGCCGGAGAATAGTGTAGAACTGCTGGCAGCAGGCCAGCTTGGGAAACTGCTACTACGGCGCAGAGAGCGAAGACCTAAAATAAAAAAAATGTAAGTAATGAATTCATAAACCATGTAAGTGTTCTTAAAACATGGAATTTATTTATAAATTCTTACTTTTGAAAACATGTTTTAATGATTCTGAGAAGTCATACTAATTATTATTTTGAAGTCTCTCGTTTATATAGTACCTATGGAACTTAGTGGCAGTTGTTTGATCGAACTGGTCGAAGTAGTCAAACGAGATAGCGACCTTGCTCCAGGGCTTAGTAGTAAATTTACAGCTACGTTCATTCATAAAGCAAATGAGCTTTAAAAGTGAAATTTAACATCTTCGTCTTCATGAATGAACTCAATGATACATCTTCATACTTAATACTCATTAAATAAAAGGCTGTATAAAATCACACTATGACTTGGAGTGCAACACAAAGTAGCTTTCGTTTTCAATTTTGCGGTTTTTCCAATAACATAATTTAATGGTGAATTATTAATAGGGCAAAAAAATAAAAGTTTCATTTAACTCACGCTACGTTATTTTTGAAACAGGGTTTTGATTTTTTAATCTATGTTGTCTTCATTGTTTTTTCGGTTTTTATCAAACAAAGTCACTTTTATTTTAAATTTTGGGGTTTTTAGTGTTCCGTAGTAAACAAGGAACCCTTAAAATTTCGTAATGTCTGTTTGTCTGTCCGCCGGTCTGCGGTTTAGCTTAAAAACTATTTGTATTAGAAAGGTGTAATTAAGCATGAGTATACACTTTAATCACATCGATAAAGTGGTAAAATAAAATCTTAAAAAAAAAATTGTTTCGGGTTTTTTTTTATTTTCCCATACGGTATCGTTGGATAGGCCTTTAATATTAGGGGTGAAGACCGTTTTTCGATTTAGTTAACCGTTCGTGACTTATTAAGCTTCATAATGCCAATTTTCGTTAGATCCAAATGTCCTTCCCCCTCTACCAACTAAACGGTTGTTATTAACTCAAACGTTGTGGCAGTAACATTTACATATAACGTCGAGTACCAAATCTCTCTGAAAATGCTGAATTGAGAAAGCAAGAATAAGCTGATCGCGAAGTTGCTATGAAGATCATACGTAGACTCTTGCACAAGCAAAATATGATTGAAGAAGTGCCGATACTACTGCGCACTTAAATGTAAAAAAAGAATAATTGGATTTGACGCCCATTTCTTCATAGAATGAATTCATAGAATGAAGAAATGGGCGTTATCCACTTAAACGCCGGTCGTTTTTCTTATTTGGCTCCATCTATTGGGCATGTTGATGATATAATGGTGAATGCTTACTGACAGATTTTTATAGGATTGATTAGCTCAAGACTCCAATATAGTAGGCCAATGCATACTCTGCATACTCTGGGACCCCGTGGGCGAAGTCGCAGCTCATGGCTAGTACTTAATATTTTTTTATACCACAAGACAGTTAAGTAACAATTTTACTGATATTATAAAGGCGAAAGGTTTAGACGGTTGTTATTTCTTCACGCAAAAATTACTGAACGAATTTTGATGATATTTGGTATAGGCAATTATTAGTCTGGATTAACATATAGGTGACTTTTTATCTCATTAAAAGGTTCCTTGGGGACAGAAATTCCTCCAAGGGCACCTCTTTATGTGAACGCTGCCTAAACGGTAAGATATATACGAATGCTTTCTAAAGTTGGAGAGCTTTAAATTGGCTAGAAAAAAGTCTGCCATGGCATATATCCATGTAATAATTGATATCAAGAATATTAAGATTTATTTTTTAATTATTAATACAAGTACGATTAACATTGAAAGTTTTATATAATTTTGTGTTTATTTGTGATTTGAATGAAGTAACGCCGATTCAGGTAGCTAATTGTACAATAGGGATGATGACTGGGTAAAAAAATGCAATTCTATTTAGCCCGTCAGTCAGATAATAGAAAAATATTAGATACGTATTTTTTTTACTTCAATTTAACAAAAAATAGCTTAGATAACAGGCATTAAAGTTGAGAAGTAGAGGCTCGCTACGTTTACAGTTGAGTAGAAAACGTACCCTAACGTGACCTCATGCGAAATTTCAACTCCATGTAACGCCGTAATTTTATGATTAGGAAAAAAATACGTGTTTAATATTTTTTAACACTACCTGATGGATAAACAAACATAAATTAGTCATCATCCCTATTAAAGTATTTTTCGCTATGTTCCTCCCGTTGTAGTAACTACAGTTCATATATATTCGTATCAATTTCATTAATGATCGAGCTATTTTCATCATCTAATAAAAATAAATGTGTGCATATAAAATTGATATAAATGATTTATAGTTGTTCCGTAACGAAACAGATCATTGATAATTGGCTATACAAAGACAACACAACTGTGGGTAAAATTTTTATTGTCTATGGGCAAGGCGATTAGCTGTCTTCGTTCCAAATCCCCACCCTTAATCCTTGGGTGACGGTTTACTACTGTGATTTCAAATTGTTAACTGCGCGCACCTAATTTTGATTGAGCTTGGTGAATTGTTCGTTATCGAGAATAAGGACATTTCGGAAGAACGGTGGATCAGTGCCTATGGACTATATATCGTGTATGATATATTCGCTGGTAACCGCGTCGACGCACCCCGTTCCAGAACCCAGCCCTCGGAACCCGTGGCGGTAAAGGATCGCTTGCGGTGAGTCGCCAACCCCTGCTTAATATCGTACATAATTTCTTTTGATCCGTTCGAACCGGATTGCTATCTTTCAGTTGTGTTGTCTCTAAACAGTATTACGTACTTATTATCATGGATAGTGACGCAGCGAATTCGAAGCAGTCATCTTTGTTACGCAAAATGTCTGATGATGAATCGCCGTGTGAACAAGATTTATTCGAACGAGATCTTATTCTCGATGAGTTAAAACGAACATTACAGTTCGCAGCGACAGATGTCCAACAGTTTCGCTCGCGAACTACTGATTTAAATTCTCACCAACGTAAATTCAATAAAGTTCAAACTAAAATTGAAAAAACGTTAATCAAGTTAAGGTCTTTTAACAAAGAGGAACAGATTAAGATACGCAACGATTTCAATGATTTGTACTACGCTATTATCACTAATTTAAATAATTTAAAGAGGGTGGATGAAGAGCAACGACGTATGAGTCGTCCGTTAATAACGCCTTTAGTTCAGTCATCTAATTATAATAAGAATTTACCAACTTTGCCTTTGCCTAATTTCAGCGGCGATCCTACGGATTGGCCTTCCTATTTCGATTTGTTTCGATCATTAGTCCATTTAAACAGTGCCTACACAGAGGCGGAAAAATTCCGTTACTTATTACTTACGGTACACAACGAACCCCACAATTTAATTAAATCTATCCCTATTACAGACGAGAACTATTCGGTAGCTTTAAATATTTTGATATCTCGTTATGAGAATAAAAGAGTTATTGCCTCAAAACACCTTGACAGAATTCTCGACATCGAACAGTGTTCCGATAGATCGTCTCAAAGTATACGTAATTTATTAAATGTCTACCAAGAAAACATTAAAGCACTGGAGATTATGCACTTTCCCGTAAGCGAATGGAGTTTTTTGTTACTTAGCATTTTGTTACGAAAAATACCTATTAACACTCGTAAATCTTATGAACGTTCTTTAACTAATTCGTCCGACATTCCAAACGTTAGCACATTGATTAGTTTCTTAGAACGCGAAATATCAGCTGAGGAAATTATCTGTTCGACTAACAGCGGACAGTACAATAAATTATCTAGTGTGGCTAATGTGAATATGCGCCACCGTCACAATAATCGCGTAGAAAACCAGTTGCAGCAACGGCAACTTCGTTCGTTTGCTGCTAATGTCACACCAGTTTCAAAACCGTCGAATGATAATCGGTCTTATGAACAGAATCATAAGAATAGAAATTGCTTATGTTGTAATGCTCAACATACGTTGACAAAGTGTTCGCAATTTTTAAACTTATCCCCTCAAGATAGATTTGCTTTAGTTCGTAAGAAAAATATTTGTTATAATTGTTTGCATTTTGGGCATGATGTGAATCAATGCAATTCTAGTTTTGTCTGTCGTACATGTCATAAGCGACATCACACATTAATTCACTTTTCAAGTAAATCGTTACCGATTACTGATAATAAAATATCTGCAAATAATGCAGTCTCGCTCCCACCTTCAGTGGTAGCTGAGATGCCTGTAACCGCTACCACGAATGATCCGCAGTGCGTTGCTCCCGCCGGTGAGAACGTGATTCATAATTGTTGCGCGTCCAATGCCGCGTTCGCTCGTACGACTACGGTGCTATTGTCTACGGCACTCGT